CCCCAAAACCCCAAAACCCCAAAACCCCAAAACCCCAAAACCTAAAATCTTCTCTGAAATAAACCTTATAATCTTTACAAATAATTGAGCTATGGGATGAAGCAGTTCAGCCGCTGTCAGAAAAAGCACTGCCGATCCTCGGAGAGAGGAGTGACGATTGGAAATACTCGAAAATATCCAAGACAACGATAATATCGTGCAAGAGAACAACAGAATGCTCTGCATGATCGACAGGCAAATAGCTAGTTCTAAATCCTCCAGAGAACTAAACCGGCTAAAGAAACTTAAGTCGAAACTGATCAGAGAGAACCAAGAGGTTACGGTACACAGTGATGTTCTTAAACAATACTCTGTTGTAGCTTCTGAGAAGAGCAACATGAGCCAGAATGTTCTATCAAACTAATTTATTTTTTGCTAATTTTTAATTCCGTGAGTCATTGTTTTATAAATTTCCATTATTAATCAATTCTAAACTGCACCTATTTAAAGACCTTGTTATTGCTGATCATGATTCTAAAATAATGTTTTAACCAGAACAGATAATCAGTTTTAGAAATCCCTCTTATTCTGAGGCTTCCCATTCGAACTGCTGTCGAAAGTTTTTCAGCCAGTACCCACTCACACCAAATAAATCATGAATATTGGCAGATTGAGCTTGGACAATTTTAACTCTCTTTTTGATACCTGCTCGTTCCATATATTTTAGAAATTAATATAAAGTGCTTTTCAGGAGAATTTAGGGGCTATAAATATCTACAATTCTCCATCTCTGCTAATAGCATCTCATTTTCTTCAGGACAAGGTATTTACTATACTTCTCAAGAAGAGAGCTATTCTTTTGCAGCTGATGCTAATCTGGATTAGGCTGCTCTCCAGCAGCTAAGGAGCTCATTACATTGCCACTTCGAGTTCTATCTATGAATAAAATCTCACAGGAGAGATCTTTACAAATCTTTATAAGTTATTAACAGCTCTAACACTATCAGCTTTGGTAGTGTTTTACATATGCAATTGAGTCTAGTGCTAAAATAACAAGTTTCTCTTCAAGAAAAAAGATTATTATATAAAATTGCTCTATCAGAAAGAATTCCTGATAGGTCGCTCATCCCTTCAGGAAGAATTTCTGATCGAGAGTTTAGTATCATAGCTGCTAATTGTCGACACTTTTCACACTTTTATTCACTCAATTATCAAAAAATGACAAAGATAAAATTTCAATAAGGTTTTATTAATTTTAGTACTTGGCCGGGCCTGTGCCTTTAACGGCGTTTCAGGAATTCTTTTCGATCAGAAATCTTGGGAATCATGAATTAGGACTCATGCAAAGCCTCAGCAATCTTGTTATGTAAAATAGTTTAGAATTCACCTAATTTCATTGATACCAGATTTCTGATAACTTCTTAAGGAATATTATGAATAACTGGCTGATAATTGCGGCCACAGAGGAAACCCTTTGTCTTAGGGGGCTATCTAATTGAAGATAGCTTCATTACAAAACCCTTTGTGGTAAGTTTCAATTTCAAACGGGATTGTCAATAAATGATCGTATCGGAAAGTACCTATCGCACAACTAGTTGACAGCTTCTAGCACTAGTTTGATGACACTATTCATACAAATTAGATGAAACAGATTTCGCTGTCAAAAATAACTATCACTAAAAATAGCCCGTTCTCATCATCTCTCCCAGGAAGCTAGTGTAGTTGTCCCAAAGAGTGTTAGCTCTCCTAAAATCACTAAAAAATGTACTTGAAGCTTCTCTAGTGCTTAATTCTCTCAAATTATAGCTTCTCAGATTTATTTTCAAGGTTTTTAGAAAGTTATAAAAACCTCTATTCTGAAATTCTGGTTATTTACTCTTTAAAAATCCAACATTATTATTTTATTAATTCCCAAACTCAACCAGTGCAGCTGGTGAAGGGGTTTTGGGGTTTTGGGGTTTTGGGGTTTTGGGG